TAATGTAATCAATAAACAGTATTAACAATTGTAAAACAGAAATAACATACAAACATTTATTCATAATACAGGCATTACATCTCTTTTAATAATTTTCCCTTTTCAACTTAAGAAATTCAGCTTGCATGGATTGTGCATGAGAAGGATGTTTTTTTCTGGAGTGAGCAGGTTGCAGGTTTTCCTCCCCTGACCCCTGTGAAAAGTGAGGGCTTGGCATTTCTTGTTTTTTGTACTCAGTTTTGAGTTCCTACAAGTTTGCACAAAAGCTTTGTTGTCTAGCTGTGAGCGAAGAGCCTCACTGTGACTGCCAAGGCTTCTTTGTGTGCATGGGTCTCTGGCTGAACAGACTCTTTAGCAGAATCAACAGGAATGTGGTCTGGGAGAGAATTCCCCCCTTTTTTAATTCAGTTTCACCTGGCAGCAGGGAGCCATTCAAATGTTACTATGGTGCATTGGCACTCTTTTCAGCCTCTGTCAATCAGCCTCCGAGAGTAGTGACATAGGCCTGTGAGCTTTCTTTGCCATTCCACCGTTTGTGTGATCTTATTTTAATTTTTTGGGGAAGTTTCAAGGAAACTTTCAAACCTCCAAGTCTTATAACAGACTGCATGGTTTCTACAAATCTATGTTGCTTATGGCAGCGGTCCCCAAACTTTTTTGCGCCATGGGCCGGCTTAATGTCAAACAATATTTTCACGGACCAGCCTTTAAGGTGTTGCGGATAAATACAACAGAATAAAATGATACGACCAAGACAAAAACTGTGGTATTTTGTAAATATAATAACAAACGCAAATTCACTGTGTAATTGTGTAACTTTATTAGTAGCGTCCTCCTGAAATGTGCCAACTAAACCTAGAGTAACAGCCTCCTCTCTGCCCCTTAATGCTCTCTGGTTGCTGTGGTAACACATAAATATTTCTTTCAAAATAAGACACACAACTACACCACGGGAAAAGACCCAGGGAAACCAAGTTAGCAATAAAAACCCTGAAAACCATAAATTTCACACCTAAGCCTCAACTCTCACAGCCTGGTACCAAACGACTCACGGACCGGTACCAGTACGTGGCCAGGGGGGTTGGGGACCACTGGATTATGGGTTATCAGTATTACTGACTAGATGGAGATTTTGGGTATAAGTCCTGCTATGTTAAAGAGAAGCATCTCATGGTCATGTCAAAATTCCTACTCACTCCCATCTACATCTAGAAAAAACAACAGACGCATTTTGAGCAGAATCAGGCAGATGCCTACAGATAATTAAGCCATTTTCTGTCCCTCTTACTGACCACCTCCCCAGCAGACATCTAACTGATAGTCATCACAGTGCTGTAAAAGGTCCTTTGCAATGTTCTGCACGCCCCAAACGACCTCAGCTTGTCCAGCCGATAGGGCCAACTTTGCCCCGTCTTTTACAGAGTATGAGTGTTATGTGACCAGTTCACTTTATTGGATTTCGTATTGTATTTGAAGTGCAAAATATAGAGGGTAAAGAGAAAGAGAGGGAGCAATGTTCCCTGAGGGGCCCCGTGCTGCATACCACCACCTCACAGACATAGTCCTTAATGTACTGTGGTTTGTTGGTAAGGAAGTCGATTGACACAGTCATTGTTTTTGCAGACTTTTCTTTCCTGTCTTCAATTAGGATAGAGTTTATTCATTAGGTAGATCAGAACTCCATCATATAGAAAATCTGTTGAGGGAATTTAACCTTTGAGTTCCAAAGCAGCATACAAGAAACATAAAGGATTTAGTGTCTCTGTAAAGAGGAGTAGGCCAAAATCTCTCCTTGGCTGTGTGCAAATCTGGTGACTAAGAACAAGAAAAATCTTACCGTTGCGCCACAATGTTTTACTTGAGGATCAAATAGTTATTTCCCTCATGGACATCTACATCAATTTGTAACTTTAATTGAATGTGTTTTTCTGGATTTTTGGTTGTTACTCCATCTCTCAATTATTGGAAACTACCATAAATATGAGAGATTTTAGCAATTTCTTTGTAAATGAGCAAACTTACAAGTACAGTAGGGGATCAAAAAATGATTTCTCCCACTGTATCGACATGTCATAGCCTGAGGGACAGCGAATGACCCAATTATACACACAAACATGCATTTTAAAAAGATATCATACACATTAAATAACTTATAGGTGCCCAGTTGTGCAAAGGTTTAGTGATATTAAAACTAATGATGTCAGGTGGAATGAACTGGCAAAAGAAAGCTATGTACCGCCATATTTTATGTGTGAGTTAGGCTAAAAAGTTAGTGTCTCTCTTCTCTGGATTTAGCCATGCAGGCCTGTGGTGCATCGGTCCTGTTGATCTCTTCTGTGCCATGTTATCTCATTCTCTGCTGTTTCCTGTAATGGAAAAAAGAAATAAAATAGGACTGTCATCATAGATAGACTTCAGGAATCAGATGGACCATGCCTCTTCCTCTGTGGAATAGAGCTGTACAATCAGTGCTGAGTGGAAATGCTGTTTTACTCTCTCTCACTTCCTGTCTAAAACGTAGGTTACAAGCTTGTATATTGCTTTTATGATGTCCATGTAAAAAGAAATCATCACAAAGTGCAATAATTTTACTGATCATGTTTCTTTGTGTAGTGATACATTTCTCTGTTGTTGAGGTTAAGGTTACAAAGATTTTTTTTTATATTTGTTGTCATCTCCAACATGTCATTTCTTGTGCCACCTGTAGCACAGAAAAACGTTCTGGCTTCCAGGGTTTGCTGTTCTCTTATGATTGCATGGACAGCTTAACTTTAAGAGGCCAATAAGTGACAAAAGAAAACCTTCAAACAAGTTATGACTGTTAACATTGCATTGTTTGTCCACCAGAAGGCAACGTCTCTGTTGCTGTTTAAGCAAATACAACAATCAGCTGACCTGAGCAGAGTTGGCTTGCAAAGAAGTAAATAACTACATGTAACAAACATTGAAATGTTGTAGCAATCTGTTTGTTGTGTATGACAGAAAGAAAAAAAGTTTGGAAGATCAGATTTTTAAATTAGACACAGAAAGACATGAGACGTGTGATACAAAATGTTGGTGTTTTCTCCCCCTTTTTTCGCCCTTTCCCCTTTCGACCCAAAGTGCTTGCTCATAGAGGGTCATATGATTGTTGGGTTTTTCTCTGTATGTATTATTGTAGGGTCTACCTCACAATATAAAGTGCCTTGAGACAACTGTTGCTGTGATTTGGCGCTGTGTAAATAAAATTGAATTGAATTGGCTGGCTGTTAATTTGTGGTTTGCTTGTTAGACCTTGTGAATTATGCTTGTTGCAGCTCTGACTTAAGCTCCGATAAACACCTCACAGATGATATGATATAATTTTCTACCAGAGGACAGAGTTTATGCAAGGGCAAAAGCCTATAGCATAGGATTAGGAATTTTAGGTTTCTGACCCAATTCATATTCCAAACAATTCAATTCTGTGTTGTTTTTATATTTACTTCACCACCAGCACCAGCCATTAGTAGGACAAATTTGGCTTAGAGACAGTTAACAGTAAAGTTTCAATTTGGAGGCATTTACTAAAACACTTGTATTTGTACGTTGTTTATGACATGACTGACATGACTAAAATCATCAAATAACATCTCATTGGCATAACTCTCTCGCTTGTTCATTTACTTTCTCTCTTATCATGTTTGGTCAGAAACATTGAATAATGTAGAAGCTAGAGGGATGTTGGTTTAGTGAAACATCTGCTTGCAGTAACATAGCATTTTGTCATCAACTCAGTTGTTATTTCGCTTGAGTTTTCTCTTATCACCTTCAAACACGTGTGTGCAAGGAGGAACAAGGAGAGTAAGTAGTATGACTTTAAATGACAGCAGCATAATGACTCAAATGACTTTCGTTTAATTTATGTCTGGCATGTTGCCATTTATTTTACTAGTAAAGAGCAGTAAATTTATGTTATTTAATGTATTTGTTATATTTGATTTTACAGAGTTTTGCAGCTGCTTAAGTTGAGACTGGTCTTGGCTTACACATAAAATTATTTCCAAACTCTTCCTTACAGTAAGGACTGTAGCTTATTTATTTGACATTGATATTAAATCTGTACTTGGTATTTGTAATACCAAGCCAAGGTATTAGTATTGGATTGTTTTTATAGGAATCCACCAAGCCTCCATTGCTCACCTTCAGCTTGTGCAAAACGCTGCTGCTCAATTTTTTTTTATCTAGTGCAAGCAAGCGGGAGCACATCACTCAGATTTTAGCTTCAAGTGTTTTACCAGTCCATTTTAAAATTGTTTTATTTGTCTTTAAGTCTCTCTAATGGTTGTGCCCCATTTTATCTGTCTGAACCGCTGCGCCCACATGTCCTGTCTCTTGCTCTCAGGTCAGCAGACCAGATCCTTTTGCTTGGTACAAAAATGCAACACAAACTCAGAGGTGACAGAACTTTTGCAGTTGCAGCCGCAAAATTATGGAATTATTTACCATTGTACATTGGGCAGGCTGTTTCGAAATGACGTTTAAAAACACAGTTTTACTCCCTGACTTTGACCCAGTGTAAGGTGTTGACTGTGTTTTTTAGCTACTTTTTATGTCCTTTTTTATTGTTTAATCTCTACAGCTCTTTTGTGTTTCTATATCTTTTACCTTCTTTTTATGTAAAATATGGTATGGATCAGTGCAGCCCTATTTAATTTTTTTAAATCAGATTTATTGTGTGACTTTCTTTCCAGTGACATATGTAAAGAAAGTTAATTTAAGTAATGTTTGAAAACTTAAATATTCATTTAGTTTACAGCTGTTTGAGCTAGTTTCAGTGTGTATTAAGGGCTTGCTTCTCAGCAAACCAGTCATTAAATTATCAAATTTGACCCCTGTTTTGGGGTTTTACGCTCTCACTAGATTATTTCTGTTCAACTCACTTGATTCTACCAGAAATGTACATAGGCCAAGAAACCTGAAGAATAGTGGTGTCACTGTCTGGTTTTCCTGGTTGATAACCTGCTATGGCTTGTTTCCAGTTCTCTTCCAAACAGCTGTCAGGATGAAGAGGAGGAACCCTGGTAGTGTGAAGAGGTTGTAGAACAAAACAAAAGAACAGAAGAATAAACTGCATCCTCTTGGGCTCTTCTTTGGGACTTCTGTCTGCACTGGCGCTCACTATGAGTTGGAGCATGTCATAGCCCATTTCTACAGCTGCTTTTTGGAGACAGCAGCAACCACAACTGGAGACAGCACCCTGCTTCATGAACCAGCGGGATGCAGCGGAGGTCCTCGCACTCTCCGAGCGCCTCCTCGTAGCTTCACACAAAGGACAAGTTGACAGTGTGGTCCAGCTTATCAACAAAGGCGCAAAAGTAGCCGTTACCAAGGTAAGTGATACAATTATGTACACTACCAGTCAAAAGTTTGGACACAGGACTATTTACATTGTAGATTCTCACTGAAGGCATCAAGACCACGAATGAACACATATGGAATTATGTAGTAAACAAAAAAGTGTGACATAACTCAAAACATGTTTTATATTTTGGATTCTTCAAAATAGCAACCCTTTGCTTTGATTACTACTTTGCACACTCTTGGCATTCTCTCGATGAGCTTCATGAGGTCGTCACCTGAAATGGTTTTCCAACAGTCTTGAAGGAGTTCCCAGAGACGCTGAGCACTTGTTGGCCCTTTTGCCTTCACTCTGCAGTCCGTATAATCCCAAACCGTCTTGATTGGTTTTAGGTCTGGAGACTGTAGAGGCCATGGTGCAGCACTCAATCACTCTCCTTCTTGGTCAAATAGCCCTTGCACAGCCTGGAGGTGTGTTTGGGCTCATTGTCCTGTTGAAAAATAAATGATGGTTCAACTGGATGGGATGGCATGTTGCTACAGGATGCTGTGGTAGTCATGCTGGTTAATATGCCTTCAGTTTTGAATAAATCTCCAACAGTGTCACTAGCAACACACCCCCACACCATCACACCTCCTCCTCCATGCTTTACTGTGGGAACCATGCATCCCCTTTTCTGCTTTGCAGAAAGACACGCGGGTGGAACCAAAGGTCTCAAATTCATACTCATCAGTCCACAGTACAGATTTCCACTGGTCTAATATCCATTTCTCATATCTCTTTGCCCAAACAAATCTCTTCTGCTTGTTGCTTTTCCTTAGTCGTAGTTTCTTAGCAGCTATTTGACCATAATAGCCTGATTCACGCAGTCGCCTCTGAACAGTTGATGTAGAGATGTGTCTGCTACTGGAACTGTGTGTGGCATTTCTCTGGGCTCTAATCTGAGGTGCTGTTAACTTACGATTTCTGAGGCAGGTGACTCGGATGAATTTATCCTCAGCAGCAGAGGTGACTGTTGGTTTTCATTTCCTGGGGCACTCTTCGTGTGAGCCAGTGTTGTTGTAGCGCCTGATGATTTTTACGACTGCACTTGGGGACATATTCAAGTTTTTGCAGTTTCCCAGACTGACTGACCTGTTCTTAAAGTAATGATGGACTGTTGTTTCTTTTTACTTAGCTGATTGTTGTCAAATATGGATGTCAGCTGTGTACCAAACTGACTTCTACACAATACAACTGATGATCCCAACCCCATTAAGAAGGCAAAAAATTCCACCAACGAACCCTGACAAAGCACACCTGTGAAGTGAAAACCATTTCAGGTGACTCCATCATGAAGCTCATTGAGAGAAGGTCAAGGGTTTGCAGCGCTATCAACAATCCCAAGGGTACTTTGGGGAATGTAAAATATAAGACATATTTAGAGTTATTTATAAATTTTTCTTTTCTACGTAATTCCATATATCTTGCTTCATATATTTGATGTCTTTAGTTTGTATCTACAATGTAGAAAGTAGTAAAAACTAAAGAAAAACCATTAAATTAGAAAGTGTGTCCAAACTTTTGACTGGTAGTGTACTTAAATACTACTTTTGCTATTGTACTCTTACACACTGACGCAGTACTTTGTTCTATGCCTTTAAGTGCTTTCTGTCACACACAAAGATTTAAAAGAAATTTGACATGCAAATTCAAAGAACCAGGGGTCACAACCATTAATTTTCCAAATAATCTGATTAAACCTGAATTAAACCTACACCTAAACTTACCACTAGGGCTGAGAATCGCAAGGTTACTTAGATGACAATTTGATCAGTCTACAGAGCAATTTATCTTGACAGCTATAAGTCAAACTGTCATCTTCATCCACCATTTACAAATGGTGCAAGCCTGCAATTTCTTCTAGTTTGTTCATCAGGTTGAATTTCAATTTTTTTTTCCCAACAATTCATTTTTTGGAGAGGTATTTGTTTTGCAAAAACCTGCAAAACAAATGTTTTTGTCAGCCTCAAGTACTTCAGCTTGAAAACGAACTGACAAAAAATGTTAAATCGTTTTGTTAAGGTATAACAAGGCGCTTGAAAGAAATGGTTCAATCTGGGAACATGAAAGGTGGGATGTATTCTAAGGCAAGCAGAATGTTTTACTCAGACAGTAGTGGGGCTGGTAATGGAGTTGATCACGTAGTGGCCAGTGTAACTTGCAGACAACCAAACTTTCAGTCCTTGGATGGTAACAGGGAGCTCTAGATTGCTGCTCATTCTATTCAGCAGTGCAGAGAAGTGCTATTCAGTTATATTTTCAAATCCATCTGCATCTGTGCAGGGGCTGCTGCACAGATGGTGTGACCAAATCCTTTTCCTGAGCTGGGACTAATGAATGCTGGTAAGCTAAGGATATCTCAAATGGGAAGAGTTCTGTACCAGATAACATTAGTGAGTTGTGACCATACGCTATCCAAGATAAGTTTAAACTCCAGGAAGACAGAATAATAGTGGACCTATTAACTATGGAGACCATTTGATTTGAATCAAAGGTGAAATCAAATAGACCAATACGGCAAGGCCGGGATGGTCCATTTGGTAAAGTAAATCCGTTGGGCATCTTTCTTTGCCTTTACACAATAATTCTGATGGCAAAAGAACCAAACGGGACAGGCAAAAAACAAACAAACAAAAAAACAAACTATGGAGACCAGTAATATCTCTACATAAGGAGGTAAGCAAGTGACAAAATCTAATCAAAACCTGCAACACCTGCTGGATAAGATGGTTATTTCCCAGTGTGAAGTCCTAACATTAAGGCCTTCCAGTTACCCCCTTCCACAAAGGTTAGCCTGACTTTCAGCAGGTTGCATTTTCCAATATCATAATTACATGGAACAGGTGTTAGAAGCCGGGAAAAGTAACTATAGGGGCAAAGCTTACTTTCTTGTCCTGAATATTGGAACAGGACTGGACTGACATCGGAGTCTAGAGGCATTTAACTCCACAATGAACTAAAGTTTGGGGTTGGGTTAGACCAGGATGGGTGCTGGTGTGAAACGCTCCTTAAATTGACGGAAGGCAATGTCGATTTCTGTGGACTGAGAGATGGGAACTTTGGGAGAGATGAGTTTGGTGAGTGCAGTATCTGTCTGAGTGAAGTTATGGAGGGCTCTTCCGTAAAAGCTGACAAAACCTAAGAAGTGCTGAAGTTGCTTCTGGGTGGTTGGTAGTGGCCACTCATCCATAGCCTTGGTCTTCTCCAGGTCTGTCTTCACCTGCATCAACACATATTCCAAAAATGTTACACATGAAATTTTCACTTTTCAGTTTTCATGTACAGCCTTTGGGGGACTTGGTTTATATGACAGCAGTGTTTACTGAGAGATTTGAACAAGACCTAAATATTGTCAAGATATATGAAAGCAAACATGTCCAAGAAATAACTTAACACATGGTTTTTAAGAGCCATGTTAGTCAAACCAAAAGACATCAGTAAATACCCAAACTGTCCTAGGGGAGTGTTAAAAACAGTTTTCCACCCATCATTCTGTGAGTCTAAGCAGGTGGTAGGCAAGTCCAGTTTTATGAAAATGTTGGCTCTGTGTAATGGTTTGAATGCTGAGCTGATGAGAGGGAGTGGGTATTTATTTTTAATGGTGATCTGCTCTGATTAACTCCATGTTAATCTATACAAGGTCTTAAGCTTATTTTACACTTGTACCTACTCGGCTTGACTCGACTCAAGCTGAGATGGTATACCTTCTGCTAAGTCTATGGCTTGTTGTTAGACTTGGGGACCACGATCTTGGATTTTGTGCAGCCATTTCCTTCACTTTTGGGTTTCAAAAATGTTGGTTTTTGATTTCTATATAGGAATCACACTCACGAATCATCGAGTAACGCGATTGACTGGGCAATTTATGGCATGGAGTCTGTTGACGTCACATTTTTGGATGGACTCAATTCACTTGGAACCTATCAGAACAGGTGCTAAAAAAGTACCTGGTACCAAGTGGTACCCCTTAATGGAAAACCCTAAAAACCCAGTCGAATCAAGTTGAGTCAGGCGAAGTTGAGCCAAGTAGGTACAAGTGGAAAAAGGTATCAGTGTCATGTTTTTTGGTTTGGCAATAAAAAAAACCCTAACAGTAACCAGAGCAGAAGATGGCTGGATGATTCTTGCTGCTAAGCATTTCCGTGTATTTTTCCATGGCCTCTCTTTCTGGCTGAGAGAGGTTGTATAAACTACTGGTGGGTAGTGTGACTCCTGGTAGAAGGTTGATGGCACAGTCAAATGGGCAGTGTGGCGGCAGAGACAGAACTTTGTCCTTACTGAACACCAGATGTAGATCATGGTATTCCTTTGAGACTGAGAAAATACAAAGCAGCAAGTGCTCATGGTGGTTCTGTCTTGGGTAGGACTATAACGATTCATCAAGTAATTAGAATATTTTGATTTAAAAAAAAATTGGACACAAATGTTTTGCTTTGATGCATAGTTTAACACATGGCTCTGTAGTGCATCGATTTGTTTAACAATCATGAACATTTCACCTACATTTGCACCTAAAAACAGACCTTCAATATAAATATTTAGGAGCAGCAAGTGAATAAAAAGTCTGACAATGTTAAGCCCACATAACCAAACACAAAACAAAAACACTGATAGCACAACAGCAGCAGTGC